GCTGCCTCCAGTACGCAACTAGCGACGGAGGGAGCAGTGTCGGCACCCTGTAGGGACAAATTGGTGGCAATCTCTCAAAGACCGTGCTTGCATCCTTCAGACTTTGGGAGGATTTCAGTAAGAGCAAAGCCACTGAAGAGTGAAACCCTTTAAAATGTGTAAGCCCAGGGGCGCCGGGCTGGCTCAGTCGGCGGAACGTGCGGACTCTTGATCCTGGGGTCATACGTTCGAGCCCCATATTGCATGTAGAGATTACTTAAAAACAAAATCTTTACAATCAATCAATCAATCAAGCGTTTAAGCCCTTTATTTTTGAGCTAGTCTACAAGCCTAAGATGAAAGAAATGCTGTGAGTCAGGGAGACATCTACCCGATTTGCCCAGGCGGCCCTGGGGTACGCCCCTGTCTCGGGGAAATAATTAAGAACCCTCCACCCACACCCACCCCTAGTTCACTTGCAAAAGTTTCCAGAGTAGATGACAAACTGTCTGGTCACCCAGGGCACAGCTCTACTGAAAGATAAACTAGAAAGGCACTGTTGTTCGGTCATGGAGAGTAAGGACCCAGAGACCAGCCAGTGGTGGCGGGTTTTTTAAACTTCGAAAGAGAAAAGCGAGGGCAAAGAAAATTAGGACAGTGCAGCTCAGTGATACTTTCACCGGCTAGAGTGGCCACGGCACCTCACCTGGGCTCCTCCACTCAGGACTGTGGGCACCTCCCACTGAGGTGGGAGGAGAGCCGTGAAGCCTGGAGAAACGGCCAGGAGCAAACAGGGCCAGAAGGAGCTGGAGGATTGAGCCCGGCTCCCACCCCCATGTGCAGAGCCGCTCCCACACCTGGGGAAGAGACATCCCCACCTTCGGGGGGCTGGAGGGGGGGCGGCAGAGACAAATTGCACACACTTCCCAAGGACCACAGTGTTCTCTACACACCCCAAAGCTTCCCTTCTGCTCAGAGCACCACGAAAAAACCCAGGATTCTTCTGTAACGGGAAATTCCAGATGCAGAGGGGTCTGTCTACACACACGGCTTAAGATCAATGTGTCAGAATTAAAACCACAGGCAAGGGGGTCTCCAACCAACCTCACTCCACAAAACAGAGGGATCCGGAAGAACAGGGTTCTTTTTAGGAAACAGGGGAGGTGGATAAACATATTCTGAAGGAAAGGGATTTTGCAATCTAAGTGTCCCTGCCAGCCCGCAGCAGGGGACAGCGGGGGAGGGGCCCCGGTGTTAGAGCCCAGGTTAGAGGGCCCCAAAGACACACCACCAAATTCGTGGGTGAACTTTTATTAAAACCCACAATCCATACAGCCCACTATAAACACGCTTCTGAGACAAGAGAAAGTGATTACAGACTTGTGAAAGTGGCCTGGGGTTCAAAGTGTCCCCCTTCTTTAGACACAGTATTTAAGTACTTAGGGTGAAATGACAAATCTGGAATTGGCTCTCGAATAGCTCCACAAAGGAAAAAGGGGAAAGGGGCCCATCTGAAGCCAATGCAGGTCATCTCGATGGTCAGGGGCTCAGTGATGGAAAAACGAGAGAACGTCAGTCCTACTTGGTGCTCTCCTTTGTGTAAACTATTTCACAATAGAAACTGTTAAAAACAAAATCAAGTGTTACATTTTGAACATCCGTAGTAACAATTCACGAAACAAAAATTTATTTTACCAGACTGGCAGGATATGGTAACACACGTAACACTCATTACAAAGAACACAGCGCGCACTGGGGGGGGGGGGGGTGTTCAAAGTTTTGACACCGAAACTGGAAGTTAACGAGAAATAATATTATTGTGCTTCTGAAAACCAGACCGGGCGGAGGAGTTGCAACTTTTACCTCTTGTTTCCCTACACACTTGCGTGCTTCTTCGAGGTTTGTAACAGATCCAACCAAGCCTTCCGGCCCCCAGCACCTCCCTCCATCCCCCCACTGGGCAGAGGGACACCTGCTGTGTGGCAAAGGTGCATCACCACTGGGACCAGGCTGCTCCGCTGGGAACTGGGGTGGGGGGAGCAGTGGGAAGCAGGAGGAGCTGACTGGCACCAGGAACCTCACTGAAAGCCAGTGATGCTCCAAGTCACAATCCCTTTAGACGCTTCTCAAACAGGACTTCTGGGTCACAAAAGTTACTTTGTAGCAGTGCCATGAGGGCTGTAACACACAGTAGCTAGAGCACTAAAAAACCAAGGAAACAATCTCCTTCCAACAGGATCCCTCCGACAGTTTCAGATCTTGACGTTCAACCCCAACAACAAACTAATCTGTTCATCTCTGAAGGCTCGGGGTCGCTGGAGAACCCACTACCTGGAACCACCAAACTCTCTCGAATAGTTAGAATAGTAAGAAGTAGCGACGTACCGAACCTCAGAGCACAAACGCTAATTCACACGTGGAATAGCATTTATCGTGGGCCTAACACATAGCTACTGCGAACTCTACCTTTTGAGTCAATTTACTCAGTACGTCGCTTAATAAGTATATTAAAATTGGAAGGAGCAAAACGATTTGTAATTTTTCTACAATCCAGACCGAGCGTCTTTTCATTCTTCTAAAACAGGAAATATAACATTAAAAAAAAGTTTCATTCAAGAAACTACTCCAAAAGCTCCTTTTAAGCCAAATTAAAAGCCTCGGTGGATAGAATAAAACTGAACTGCACACAGCCTTATAATTACAGCACACTCACAGAGCCTGAAATTTGGGTTCATTCCCATCCTGCCATTAGCTTAAGAACTATCCTACAGACCCATTTATTTTTTCAACCAAAGCTGTCCAATTCCAGGGCAGGTTTATCTGCGAACCATGGGGCCCTCTCCCCACCACGCCACAATGCAGAGAATCGCAGCAGAGCCAGATCCTTCCAAAAGCTGTTGGTGACCAGAAAGGAGCCTGGAGATCCAGGGGGGGCTACAGGTTTTTGAAAACGGAAATGCAAGAAAAATACCCCTGGCGCACAGCGCACAGTTCAGGGTAAGCAGCGCTTCGCCAAGCTCGTTTCGATCACACCTGAGCGAGCGCACGCGCACACGGGTCCAGTTGAGATGTAACAGGTATTTCTTACTGTGGGTCAAGGTCAAAAGGACTGAAAACCACCTCTTTGAGGAGGGTGTACAGTCAGCTTGGGATCAGACATATCGTCCTATGCTCACCGGCCACATGACCTTGGCAAGGTTCTTAACCTACGTGAGCCTCTGCCGTCTACCTTCAAAACGAACATCACCAGTTTGCCGAGCCATCCTGTGGATTAGTTAACTGGACACACAACACAAAGCCTGACCTTCCTCAAGGTTCTCTACTTTTTCTGGGCCCTCAACTTTTAAACTGAAAATCTGAAAATCAATCAATCAATCAATCCACACTGTAGTGGCTAAGACTTGCTGGGATCCCTTTTCAGGGATTCCTGGGAGATCCCCACTCGCTCGGCTAGGTAAGAAGCCCAGGGTCTCAAGAAGCCAAATCTGCCCTCGGGACGGTGCCCACATAGCCCAGGGCCCTTCCCCACCAGGCCTGAGGAACCTCCCAGATGCAGGATTAAAACCATTCCTCAATCAAGCTGCCAGAGTCTGGAGAGGCTTAAAAGTTGATGGAACTCGGCCTTGGAGAAGCTTTTAGATTAAGTGACATGGGGGGGGGGGGGGGAAGACACTCAGAATTCACAAGGCATAGAAGTGTTGGTGGACAGACACAGCAGCGAGAGCCCACGGCGTCAAGGGGCCTGAGTGGATCGAGGGGGGGGCTTCCAGACCCCCGATGGGGAGCACGTCTGGGCGGGAGCTGCCAGGGCCCCATCAGCATGTGGCTGCGGAGGGTCAGGCCCGGGAGCACACCTAGCAAGGGGCCCGGAGCAAGCCTGCAGCCCGAGGGCCTGCAGTGGCCAGGGCCTGGCAGACAAAGGGGACAGGCGATGCCCCGGCCAAGTGGCAGGCCCAGCCGGGAAATTTAGGAGCCACGTGCCTGGCGGGAGAAGGAAAAAAGCTTTACAACACTTGACTGTTTTCTTGGCCCAGCACCCCGGCTGCCCTTCCACGGTGCGTCGAAAACAAGGGGGAAAAACGTGTTACTCCTTTAAGTTTTTTAGAACTTTTGCAAAGAAAGAGAGCGGCCGGGCGAGGAGGGGTGCTAAGGGAGCCGACACTCCTCCTCGCCCGCTTCTAGTAAATTGTAAAAGGCAATTAACACTTGAATAAGCAGCCGGCGTGTCTGGAATGAAAATGAGCCGCACGCAGTCTTAGGGTTTTAAGGTGCCGCTTCCCGTCCCTCTCGGGCTACAGTCCTCGCTACCCGCGGGAACTGGCCAAAATTCAGCCTTTTCAGACTTTCCTTCGGAGAAGGGGCCTCAGAAGTGCTGGCAACGAGAAAAACGAAACTGAGTGCGCCCCAGGCTCGCCGGGCTCGGGCTGGCTCCGCAGCCGCGCGCCCCCGGCCCCCGCCGCCCGCACCCCGAGCTCGGCGCGACCCGGCGCGACCCCCGCCCCGCCCCCGCCCCGGCGCCCCCGCGGTCCCCGCCGTCCCCGCCGACCCCCGGGGCGCGGCGGGCAGGCCGGGGGCGCGGGAGGCCGGGCCGGGCGGCGGGCGAGGCGGGCGCGGGCCTCGGGCCTACACGCGGGCCGCGCGGCCCCGGCCCCGGCCTCCGGCTCCACCCGCGGGGCCCCCGGGGCGCGGGGCGCGGGGGACGCCAAGGCCCAGGCCGCGCGGGGCGCCCCGACGACCCGGGCCGCGGAGGGAGGCCGGGCTGCGCGCCCGCGGTGGGCCGAGGAACGGCCGCCCGCCCGCCGCCCCCCGCCCGGGGCCCCGCCGCCGCCCGCCCCGCAGGCCCCGCGCCCCGGCCTCGCCCGCGCCCCCCGCGCCCCCGGAGGCCCGCGCCCCCCGCGCCCCCCGTGCCCCCCGCGCCCCGCGCCCAGCGCCCCGCGCCCCGCGCCCCCGCCCGCCAACCGCCGCCGGCGCCGCGGGGCCGAGCGCGAGCCGCCGGGCCGGCGCCCCCCGCGAGGACTCACCGGGGCCGGCTCCCGAGTACATGGTGGCGCCGCCGAGGGGCTCCGGGGCCGAGGGGCGGCCGCGCGCGCGCCACGGGCCCCGACGCCGCGAGCCGCGAGGGAGCCGCCGGCCGCACGATCCGCCCCGGCGCGGCCGCCTCGCCAAACAGGTTTACCCGACGCGGCCGGGGCGGCGGGCGGAGGCGGAGGCGGCGGGCGTGGGGGGGGGGGAGGGAGGGGCGAGCGAGAGAGGGAGGAGAGGAGGGAGGGGAGGAAGAGGGGAGGGAGGGGCGAAGGAGAGGGGAGGGAGGGGAGGGGAGGAGGGAGGGGCGGAGGGGAGGGGAGGGGAGGAGGGAGGGGCGAGCGAGAGAGGGAGGGGAGGAGGGAGGGAGGAGGGGCGGGGAGGAGGGAGGGGCGGAGGGGAGGGGAGGAGGGACGGGCGGAGGGGAGGGGAGGAGGGAGGGGCGGAGGCGAGGGGAGGAAGGGGGAGGAGGAAGGGGAGAATGGAGAGGGGGAGGAGGGGGAGGAGGGGGGCGGGGCGGCGCGCTGGCGGCCGGGAGCCCGGGGGGGGGCGGGCGCGGGCCCCACGGGGAGGTGGAGGTGGGGGCGGGGCAGGGGCGCGGGGGGCCCCACCGCGGGGGCGGGGCGCGGGGGGCGGGGCCCCTCCCAGCGGCTCCGGGGGCGCCGTCTTCCCCGCCTGGGCGGAGCGGGTCCCGCGAGGCCAGCGCCAGAGGCCGGGAGGAAAGAGAAGAAGCCCCCCCTGGTGTCCGCGCCGCCTCCGCGCGTGGGGCGCCCGCTCCGGCTGCCTGGGGGGGGGGTGGCGCACGGTCCCCCCCCCCGCGGCCCGGCTGTGGCCGCCCCGGCCCGGCCCCGGCCTCCCCGCCTGCCTGGTTTTTCAAGTTACTACCGAAAGGCGACCGCGGGGAAGCTCGCGCCCAGCCCGGAGCTTGAACGTGAAGGCGCGGGGCCTGCGCACGACCACACCGCCACCTCCCGGCCGGGAGCCCAGAGCGTCATGTGAAAAAAAACTTGAACAGTAAGTTTGGGGCGCGTGTGAGCTGCGTGAGGTCCAAGCCAAGCCGCCGGGAGGGCGGGCGCGCGCCCTGGGCCTCTGGGACCCCCGCCCCGTGCTCCCCGCCGTACTCAGGGAGGCCGTCCCTCGCCCCCACCCGGGCCCCGGCTCCGGCCGCGGTTACCCCCTCCCTCTCCTCGTTGATGGGGGTTACAAGTCTCAAGGTGACACGAAGTCCACACTCGCTCGTCGCCGCTGTAACCTACCTGCCTGCGCTTTCCTTCATCCTATAAACGTGTGCTACCTGCGTACTGGGTGCGAGGACCTGAGTGTTCCTCCTGCCAGTGATGCAAAAACCAAGAGCCCTGCCTGCAAGGAGCTTAGCATCCTAAGCAGGCTTTGCAAGTCTCAAGAACTTCCCTAAATAAATGCCAGAAAACCATGGTTTCCTCCAGAAAGAAACTTAAAGGGACACGGATCTTCACATCATTGATATGAATGGGGTCGGTGCCGTGGCATCAGCCCCCAGGCGCTCATGCATCCCTCCCTGGTCCTCTGCTGACCACCCCCACCCCTCAAGCTGGCCTGGGTCCCTTGAGAAGCCCCTCAAACTACCCTTGCCGGCTCCCCACCCAGCAGTCCCCTTTGTGTGATCCCAAACCTGATTCCATGCCTGCTTTGTTCAAAGCCCTTCGTGGGCTCTCCAGTTCCATCTGCCCCGGGGCCGAAATCCTTAACTTGGTGCACGATGCCCTGCAGGGTGCAGGCCCCGCCTGCTTGGTCAGGATATTCCACTTCACCTTCCACAGGCTCTTCAGATCCACGTCTTCATTCTCTCAAGAGTGTTACTGGAGTGTGAATCAGTCCAGCGGGTTGGGAGGAAAGTGTCTGGTAGTGCCTGGAAAAGCTCACACCTGGCCCTACGTGGACGAGACGCTGAAATGAATGTTTGGGAGCAGAGGAAGGGGGCCGGTGTGCCCTAGCCCGGGACTGGGCGCCACCCAGCATCCACCAGCACTGGAGCGGGTTGTGAGGCGGGTGGATCCTCCTCAAGTAAAACCTAGAGATGAAAATGAAGACCCCTCCAACACGGATGAGTGTCCAGGGTGTTGAGTGAAAGAGGCCGAGGCCCAGGCTGCAGGATTACATTTATAGAAGCTACAAAAGAAGCAAAATTGAACTATGTTGTTTAGGGGTACATAATTGGTAAAAAGTTGAGCGAAAGCCAGAAGGTGGTCACCATGAGTCAAAGTGGTGGGTGCTGGGGTGGGGTGGCGTGGGGTGGGGTGGGGTGCCCTGGCCACAGATGGGCTGTGCAGGCTGCTGACCTGCGGGAAATGCTCCTTCCAGTAACACTGCTGCTCATTTGCACGTCCCAAGCTGCACATTTGTTTGTTTATATGTTTTCTGTGCCCTCTGTGTTTCACAATAAAACATTAAAAAAATAATAACGGTGAGGGGCGCCTGGGTGGCTGATTCCGCCAAGCCTCTAACTTCAGCTCAGGTCAGGATCCTGTTGTCCTGGGATCGAGGCCCTTCCCCCTGGGGCTCCCTGGCCGAGAGTGGGCTCCTCCCTCTGCCTCTGTGTGCTCGCCCTCGCTCTCAAATAAGTAAATCTTTTAAAAAATAAAAACCATGGGGCAGCCCGGGTGGCTCAGCGGTTTAGCGCTCAGCCGTTTAGCGCCGCCTTCAGCCGGGGCCTGATCCTGGAGACCTGGGATCGAATCGCGAGTCGGGCTCCCTGCACGGAGCCTGCTTTTCCCTCTGCCTATGTCTCGGCCTCTCTCTGTGTGTCTCTCATGTAAATAAATAAAATCTTTAAAAAAAAAAAAAAAAACAATAACCATGAATGTCCTCTGTCTCCTGCTTGTGCCCCAGCAGGCCCCCAGCCGACTGTCCCCCCGCACCTCCCACCCCGGGCTTCCCGCCGCAGGCTGCCGTCCTCTCCAGCCCCGGACGCGCCCCCTCGCCTCCCTCTCCCTGCACCCCCCCGGCCCCAGAGCGGCCCCTCCGCGCACACGCCGCGGGGGTAACTTTGTTGCACTTTGTTGCACCGGGTCCAGTGCAGGAGGAGGTCCGGCTACATAATGTCTCCCAGTAGCTTCATTGTGTCGCGACTCGGCGGGGACCGCGCGCGCCCCCTGCCGGCGAGGGGCGCCGTCTCCGGGCTGGGGCTCCCCTGCGCGGGGCCGCCCCCGCCGCCAGCACCCCCTGGGCTCTCCCCCGGGGCTCCGGGCCTGCAGCCCCCAACCCAGAGCGTCCCCTCCCGCTCCTCCCAGCCCCGCGCCCAGGGGTCCCCGCCTTCCGCTCCCGCGGTCCTGAGCCCCTAAAGCATTGGAGCCCCCCAAGCTCTGGCTGTGAAACGTCTCGGGGCACCCCCCCCCGGCCCCCAGGTACCCCCCGCTCTGCCCTTCCAGGTCCCCACTCGGCGCCCGGTGTTGGCCACAGGGGGCTCCCGATGCCCCAGATCCCTGCCTGGGCAATTCAGCGCCGGGTGCTGGGGTGCTGGGGCACCCTTCGCTGTGGCAAGACGGCAGGGGCCGGTCACCGCGGGCAGAGCAGAAGCGCCTGTGCTCCTCGGCACCCCGGGGGCTCTTGGTTTCTCCCAAGTCTACAGTGTAGACGCTGGAACAAGTCCGTTCCCAAGACATGTTCTGCGTGTGACAAAGCAGAATTAGGGGATCAAAGAGATGAGAAGCACTGAGTGAACCCTAAACAGATTTATCAATTGCAAGCCTTCTCAAAACATTTTCTTAAAAACAGATTTTATGGGGCCCCTGGATGGCTCAGTGGTTGAGCATCTGCCTTCCGCCCAGGTGGTGATCCTGGAGTTCTGGGATCCAGTCTCGCGTCGGGCTCCCTGCATGGAGCCTGCTTCTCCCTCTGCCTGTGTCTCTGCCTCTGTGTGTGGATCTCTCATGAATAAGTAAATAGAATCTTAAAAAAATTTTTTTATTTGAGACAGAGAGTGAGAGACAGCATGGGGGGCAGGGAGAAGAAGGCTCCCCACTGAGCAGGGAGCCTAACGTGGGGCTCAATCCCAGGACCCCAGGATCACAACCTCAGCCGAAAGCAGGCGCCCCTTCTCAAAACCTTGAACAAAGTGCTAAGAATCATGATTCTACAAAGAGGAAGGAGGGGAACAGACAGTGTGCAGCCCCACACACACGGGGCCACAGAACTCTTTTGTCCCAGGGTACCTCTGTGTTCCAGGGGCGCACTTTGGGAAACACCAAGGTAGCACTGTCTGTGATCCCTTCTAAGGCTCTTTGGATAAAAATATTGGCTGTTTTTCTGAATTAAGAACTCAAGAGTGTACTTATGAGCTGACAAATACTTCCACCATAGTTGGAACAAAATGCACATCTAAGCAATTTCTATGCCCCGAACCCAACATTGAAGGGAAACCACTTAGTCTGAGTACATAAATCACCCTGTCATTTTGTGCGCCCAAAGAGGCTAAGTCAAGAATCCTGAACATGCAAGCAACTGGGGCCGCCTCCCTGCACCACCCCAGGGGCCTCAGGTGCCGCCAGGCCACAGAAGGTGTCCTGTAGGGTAAAGAGAGGGCAAGGGGGGCTACGGCTGGTGTATGCCCAGGAGACGCCTCCGCTGTGGACGCGCCCCTTCCTCTGTCTAATAAGGAAAGGCAGCCAAGATGCTGCTAACACGCAGACACGGAGAAATTAACTCCAAAAGGATGATGGATTGAAATGGAAAGTTTAAAAAGGAGAGGAAAAGTTTAAAAAGGAGAGGAAATTTGGGAGATCTAGGGCTAGGCAAACAATTCCCAGACTCAACACCAAAGGCACAGCCATGAAGGGAAAAACATACTTTGGACTTCACCAAAATTCAAGCTTTTACTCTGCAGAGGACCTGCTGAGAGGGTCAGAGGACTGGACCAGCCTAGAGCGGGAGAAAATGCTTGTACCCTGAATGTCTGACAAAAGACTAGGACCTAAACTATATAAAGAGCTCTCAGAATTCAACAGCAAAAACGCAAACAATCAGGGCGCCTGGGTGGCACGGTGGGTGAGGTGTCCTATTCTTGGTTTCGGCCCAGGCCATGATCTTGGGGTGGTGGGATCAAGCCCTACCTCGGGCTCGCTCAGCGGGGAGTCAGCCTACAAT